GGCTGAGGAAGCCACCATCGATTTAACCATGGATACAAGATAGTATAGACTGCCCAAAAAACCTTTCCTAAAGAAAGAGCACGAGGTACAGACAAGGAGGCCTTTGGTAGGTCATAATCCAAGCTTCTCAGCAGAGGTCGGATGAACTCAAAGGTGTTGACTGGTGACCCTGTAAGAAAGGTTGGTTTTCACCTTTTACGTTTCAGATACTACCCTTTATGTCAAAGGAATAGTTCAATAATCCGTGTCTAGCAAATTCCAGTTAATAATATGACAACAAAACGAAACTAAATTCAAAAAGGTAAAGTAAGGGTTGCATTGTTACCATCGGATACAAAATATGGCTGACCAGCAGCTACGGGATGCCTTCCTTTATCTCTCCCAGGAATGTCATCCAAAAGTCCCATGCTTGCCATTACCAGTGCAAGTACTAGGTTATCGACATAAATCCAATCTGTTTTCACATTTGCTTCGCCAATTTTGAATGGAACTAGGCCTAACTTTGCCAGAGACACTATCCTCGGAAGGTGCCTTTCTTCACCCGGACCATAGATAGCAGCTGGACGAACTGCACAGGTGTAAAGGCACTTCCCACTCTTCTTCCTATAAAGCATAGAAACAACCACATCTCAGTATATAATTAATGCGAAGACAAACTAAATATGGCGGATAAGAACCCATAAACAATAGCCAGTGTCATTACCAACAAAGATAACTCCACATTTCGGCTGGTATAAATACCACGCTTTAATACCACTCACACTTGTGCTCATATACACAAATTTTTTTGTATGAATCCAGCCCATGTATCCTAAGACACAAATTCCCGGTACACTAGAATGACCCTATTAACAAACACTTTTCCCTCACTAGTTTGCTCGCACGCATATCCTAAGACACACCAATTCCGAGTACACTAGAATATCCCTAGTAACATATACTGCGGAAAGCTTACTTGAAGAAGGCATAGGAACAATTTCAATTACAAGTACTTACCTGAAGGGACGAGCATTGTACTTGAGGACCAACTGCTCGGCAATTGATTTACTACGGCCATACGGGTCGACATGGTTATCAATGGGGAAGTAGCGCAAGGCCTCATTCCCGTTGACAATCTCCTCTCCCCCAAACACAACATTGTATGTGCTCACATAAACAAGCCTTTGGATCCCAAACTCGAGACAAGTGTCTAATATATGACAGGTTCCATTTATATTGACCTCATCAACACGACCAAACTGCAGCATTTCTTTTCCTGACATGCCATATGAAGCAAGGTGGAACACAGAGTCTGCTCCGCGCAGAGCCTTTTCAACATCTTTTTTATGGGTAACATCGCCTACATGATTATTACTATTGATTATTAATATTTACATAAAGATATTGAAAATTTCAATATACCCAAGTGAAAAAATTGAACTTGAAAGAGAAAACGCAAAAGAAATGAAGAAAGTGGATGAATTTAAAAGGCGTAGCAAAGGGGTAATGAGTAATTGGGAAGATGGATCAAACCTTGGACGCAGTGGACGCCGTGTTGGCGGAGATTGGAGGACCAAGGGGAGGTCGTTCGGAGGTCAAAGGCTCGGACTTGATGAGCCCCTCTTCGAAGCAGCTCCAAGCTGAGTGCGGAGCCCACAAACCCCAACCCACCCGTCACCACAAAAGTGTTGCCTTCTATGCCTTCATTTTCGCTTAAGTGCATCTTTTCTTGCTTTCCTTCTTTCTTATTGTTTCCTCGAATCGAACTCAAAGACCGACTCAGAAGAAGACCCTCTCTCACACAAGTCAGGTCACAACAAAATAGTGGAGAAGAAGTACAAGAATTTGATCTGCTGTGACGTTGGTGCCCGCACAAGCCATGACATGTGTCTATGTTTTAAATTCTCAATTAATTATTCACCTAAAAAGAAAAATTACATTCAATTCAAAATCAGATTTTGTTCTTTTATCAAATTTCGTAATCAGATTCAGATCTGTGTTTCAGATCTCACCACGCATCCTTAACGAGTATTATTTCAGCGGAGCAGTGATATTATGAGGCATGCTGACTCTGAGAAATGAGTTGTATTTCAGTAGAACGGTACAACGGTACAAATAAGTGATGTTTCAGTAGAACTGTGGATGGAACAGTAACATCACTTCGCAAGCTGACACAAAATGAGTTTGTTTAAATTATTATTCATGTTTGCACCATCGTGATCCACTTTGGACAAAAACATTGTCATTATGATCCACTTTGACGAGTCATCCTCGATGCAACACTTAGTCATAATTAATTTCAATTAGGCGAAAACTTGTATATCGTGGGAAGATATTACTATTTTGCTATTATCAATCAATTACGTTGCATTACACGTGATAATTTTTTCACATGACGTAATGTGATTAGTTGGAGATAGCAAAATAGTGTGCTATCTCATTCTCCTGGATTAGGCCCTAAACAAGTCCTTTGAAACACACACATACCAGCAACATTGCTTAGATGAAGTTACTATGAACATGGCCATGGTTTGTGATGAAGGGGCCTCGATCATGACCAATACGACCAAGTTCCCCTTGGTTATTATCGTCACTCCTTTTTTTTTTTTTCCTTGGAAAAGAACTAAGGCCCCCTTGGTTGTGAGACAAACTACATCGAGGACCGAGGGTTCTTTGTCAAAAGGAGACAAAGCTTGTTTGTTTTTTTGGTCAAAGAAAATAAAGCTTGTTGGTTGGTTGTGATGAAAAGGATCAAGAGCCCTAACTTGACAAAAAGGGCAAAGCCGGCTTGGTGATGACAAAATGAACTACTGGTTATGAAAAGAATGGGAAGGGCCGCTAATCATTACAAGAAGGACAATCCATCCACACACCTTCTTTTTTCAGTGTTTTTTTTCCCCATGTGGAGCATCTACACAAATTATATCATGTAGTTATGTAGTTAATGTCACTCGGTAATATTAGAACATCCCACACATGAAACAACTCAGTGACTCAGATGGGTTTAAAAAAAGAAAAAAAAAAGAAGAAGAAAGTTGTAATATATTCTAGAACAAGTTGAAGTTGAAGTTGTTGTTGAATCTCAAGCTTCCATAACTGGCGCTGGCATAAGCAGTAAGGAGCTCATTTTGGGAAGACCAGAAATCAGCTTTCAATCCTCCTCTCCTGATTGCTTTCAGTAATTTGTTCCTGTGTACACATCCTGTTACAATCACCTTCTGACTGTATGCATCTACTTCCACCTTTTCTATCCCTGTAATTAATTGTAAACCACAATCATTACAATCCATATTCATTTTTCATTAATATTATATCGATTGATTGTACGTAGTTTAAGACATGACAACTTCTATGTAGCATATTTCATATACCACAAAGAAAGGTATATGAAACATGTTATATGGAAGTTGCCTCGTCTTAAACCACAGTTCACTAAAAGAGAAAGGTGTATGAAACATGAAATAGACAAATTTTTTTCCACAACACAGGATACCTCTCAATTTAGACAAGCATTTCCTAAGTCGCTTCTCATGTATCCCAACCATCTCTACCTTCAATTCCACACTCTGCAAATTAACAAACAATGTTACGTACATATAACAACGTAACATAACTTGTGAGGGAAAACACAACCGCTACACTTGCTAGAAATGAAAGGGTTAATTACTTGAAGAAAATATATAATGCATCAATCCAATATAATATTACCTCCATGAGAGAATTCTGGACTGGAAATGATCAACTGATGTATTATGTATGTATGTGTATGTGTATGTGTATGTGTATGTGTATGTATGTACAGAAGCTTGGAATGAATTAAAGGAGCAAAACAATGAACACAAAGAAGAATGGATGAATGAAACAGACAGAGATTTTCAGTCACTTATATATAAGAGGGTTCCAGAGTGGGGACATGAAAAAGATGGAATAAACAGTAAAGCAATCTTGGTTTCTGGGACTGTCTCTGCCTCGACCAAACTTCTAGAAATCATATGATCTGATCTGCTTTGTTTTTAGTTAATTATACTTTGCTTTTTCAAAGACACAAGACATATACCCTAGAACAAGAAAACGGTTAGCATAAGGAGACAGACCAGTGAGTGAGCTCAAGCTTCTAGGCTTCCCGTCTGCGCAAAGCAATGTGAGTCTCAAGCATTTTGAAATGAATGGCTTTGACGGTCCAACTTACCCTTTTTTTTTATGGGGTGTTTCTTTGACGGGAATGCAGTCAATTCCTTAGGAATTTGCAATCATTGAGTGGATTATCTGAGCCGTCCACTGCATGATCTTGCTTGGTGGGGACATTCCCTCCTATCTTTAGTTGATAAAGACAAAAAAGTGATCCCTCGATCTGCTTGTAGTGTTGTGTTGTATTGACCAAGCATATACTTGTGCATATCGCAAATTGCAAGGTGGGAAAAAGGAAAAGAGTGAAAAAGAAAAAAGAAAAAAGAGAATAAAAACTTGATGCAAGGAAAAAAACTTCCCAGCAAGTTTGGTATTTTTGGGTTCTCTTCTATGTAGTTTACTTAGCACATATTATTCATTATTTGGATTATTTATTCAAATGGTTCTCAAATTTATACCCGAGTTGTATTTTGATCCTTCAACTAAATTATCCGCTCAAATGATCCATCAACTCTTTATTATTTGGCAAATTAGTCTACCGTTACATTCTATCAATATTGTTGTTAAATCTGAGGACATGTTAGTCATTTTGTACATTAAAATTAAATAAATACTGAAAAATAAAATATAAAGCTTTTACTCTCTCTCTCTCTCAATAGAGCAATCAAATTTATTTCTTGTTACACTGGTTCTGCAGGATGGGTAATGGGTTCTCCCTAGGGAGAGGGGGAGGGGGAGAAGAAATCAGGAGGGAGGGGGAACTGGGTTTGGGTTTGAGGAATTTTTTTCTTCTCATTTTGTATTAATTTTAACTATTTAAAAAAAATTAATTATGAAAAGTGATATTTACCCTAAAATTTGGTTAAATCTAATAGAAAATTAGACCGCGGGACCAATTTGACAAATAATAAAGAGTTGATAAACCATTTGAGCTAATAATTTAGTTGATGAACCAAAATATAACTCGGGTATAAATTTGAGGACCATTTGAGTAAATAACCCTTCATTATTATTAGATGTTACAATTTAAAGGGAAGACTTGAAGTGACGCTTAGGTGTGGTCCGTCCATTGGTTCAAATTACTGTAACTTATTTGGTTGGTTAATCGTTAGTGTCAAAATGTTAAACCAAGGCCCAAAAAAGAACAAATGAAGATACTAGCTCCCTTACCATTTGTTAATATATCATTTAGAGCGATTAAAAAACCAACCGGGGTGGTGGCGCAGTTGGCTAGCGCGTAGGTCTCATAGCTTCTGAGTTATCCTGAGGTCGAGAGTTCGAGCCTCTCTCACCCCAGCACTGTTTTTCGAACCTTTTTTTTTTTTTTTCTTTCCTCAAATTGCATTGGCCAATTGGCAATAGAGCCCATGTTTTTCATACCTTAATATAAATGCAGCTTTTGTTTAAACTCAAAAGAGAGTTTATTCTTGTGGTAGATAATAATTTAATTTCATCTAATCTAGATAAGGTCAATAAGTAAAATATAGCATCTAATTTTATAATAATGTAATTAAAAAATCTCAAAATTACACACATTGTCACTCTTTCAAAGTCAATCACAATGCCACATGCCCACTTCCAGCAACCCTTTCTGGCTAGTCACCACTCAGCGCCAGCCACCGCTGCCCACCAACACCACCACCTTCAGCCGACGCCCTTTATTTAGGCGTGGCAATGGGTCATGTCGTATCAGGATAATAAACGTGTTAAGAATACTCAACTCAAACCTGACCCATTTAATAAACGTGTCGTGTCTAGTTTGGTTCGTCTTAAATAGGTTATTAAACATGTTACCTGGGTAATAATCTGTTTACTTATTCCTAGTTTCCAATAGATTCGTACACTTGCGGGTATTTATAGTTAGATGATTAGCATTTTAATTTGTGTCGTTAAAATTAGAAGAAATAATTAATTAATTAATTAAAAAAATTATTTCACATTTATTTTTATTAAAAAAAAAAAAAAAAAAAAAACAACAACAACAACTACAATGTAACAACCCGATCCTAAATTAATTTTTAATCATTAATTTATTCTGATAAAAGACTATTTTGCCCATCGAATATTTTATTGGGTTTAAAGTTGACTTTTTGTTTGGGAAATAATTTGGGGACTTGGTGGTACCATTGCGTAGAGCTCGACGATACGACTTCATAAACATGTGGCACGCCCAATTCCGAGTTGTAACGAAGGAGAAAAGGTATAGAAACAAAAAGGGCATAGTGGGAATTTTAAAAATTGGGACTCTAGCTACAGTGCCGGGTCTTCTTCTTCCTTGCGATTTAACCAGATTTTCTGGTTATTTTTCTTCATTCCCTCTACTTCCATCATTTTTTTTAAGACACCATCTTAGCCCGGTTGCCACTGCAACCTTCATGAAATCTCTTCCCCTCGTCCTCCTCTACAAAACTCACCCAAGACCCGATCCGATTCAGTGACGATGAGCTCAATTCGAAGCTTAGAAAAAGGACGGGTTTTCCGGCGGCGTTTTAGAGTTTTCTGGCGACTCCGACTGCCAAATCCGTCAAGTGAGGTATGGTTTCTTACCTAATTTTCGAGTTCTAGCTGATAATTGGGTAGGATTTGATCAAAATACAGGGGAGACTTTGTTGAATTTTCGGTAGAAGTCAAACTAGTAATAAAATTGGATTTTAGTTAGAATGGCAATTTAGTCATTTGTGCCCGACACCCTTCAGGTGTCAGACACGCAATGGGTTTGGCTCGAATTCCAAAGTGAAATTTGAGTTGGGTTCTGTCAAACAACATCATGGCACACTTCCTGATTCCATAATAAGAGACTTTAGTTTGACCTTCTGGATCTCCTCTCTCAGGTTTTCTCACACTGCTTCTTGGGCTCATCACTTGAGCTTCCAATGATCCCTTTCTTAGGTTTAGCAAAACTTGGATCTCCTCGCTAACGTTTACCTGGTTGATCCAGCCTCCAGCTACTCTTGCATGCCCTTAGAGTAAAAAATCTAACATCTTTGATAACTTTTGATTCTCTTCTTGGTCATTTACCTGGTCGAATGTTTTATGACTCACTTAACAAGTTGGGAATTGACGACGTTTATGCACCAACTTGAGAATGAGTGTTGACATGAGCTATCCTAATTAATCAAGGAGATTTATTTCCTTGATTAATTAGGTGATTTACTTCCTTATTTTATATAATTGACATATCCTTGTATAATTGGGAGATATTCTCTTAATTGATTACTATATCTATTTCTTTGTAAAGCACTCTTGTAAACTCCTATATATACCTTCTTATGGAGAAGAATACAATTAACCTAAAGTATTCAAACCATATTCATATTTTAGCAAATCTAACTAATACGCAAGTGAATTTGTAGAGATTGTTGTAGTGAAAGTTTATTAAGCAAAGCAAGAGTTATAAAACCAAATAAACAAGAAATTAATCAAAGCAATTGAGAATAAAATCGTGACTTTTAAAGGTTGAAAAACAATGATAAAGGTCTAGAGTCTCATAATTAACCACAAGTAATCCAAGTAAGATTTCAAGAGTGTTTGTTGGGGCTTGGAAACAATGAAAATAAGTAGGTGTAAGTGGTCGATGTAGTTATTTACTAAGTGACGTCTTCTTCTAAGAGTAAGCCTTAGCTCTTGCATTTTCAGTTGAAAAGAAAAGAAAAGAAATTTATAAATAAATAAATAACAAATTTTTTAAAAAATTTTAAAAATAATTTTGAAGTTCGATACCAAATAATTTTTATATCTTAAAATCAGCATTTGGAAACTAATATTTTTAAAAAGAAACATCGTTGGGCTTTTAGAGTTTTCTTGGCTCAGTAAAAAAGTTACAAAAAAAAATGTTTTCAAGCCTACCCAGCCCATCATCCTCTTTCCTTCCCTTACCCACCGCCCAGCCCTCTAACCTCAGCAGACAGCGGCTACTTCCTCTTGTGCTTCACTTCTTCGAAATCACTGCTTGTATTGTATCTTCTTCACAACTTCATGTTGTTTTTCCTTTTTCTTCATCCCCTTTACGCCCCTTATCCATTTCTTCTTCTTCTTCTTCTTCTTCTAATCTTCTTCATCGGCCTAACCCAGGTTAGTTCGAATTCTGTAATTTATTATTCTTAATTGTTTTATGATTCGCGAGTATGAACCCTTTTTTTTTTTCCATTTAAGTATATTGTTAAAAATGTTTTATGTCGATGTAGTTTAAGCTTCAGCTCTCATAACTTATCCCTCTTGATGGTGTAATTTAGACTTGTTGGTTAATAATTCCCTTTTTTTCCTGTAATTTTTTGTAAAGAACAAACTGTTGCTGCATTGTTGTGTATTTCTCTGCACTTGCTAATTGGGAACTTCCCAAAAAAATGAAAATGATAGAATATCAGGCTGTGTTAGAGGATTTCATTAATTTTTTTTAAAATTTTTTATTTGGTAGCTTGGAGGTTTAGCCTACCCCAAGATAGAATCTAAGACCTTTTGAATCTGAGTTCTGACTTTCAGTCTACACCATGACTGAACCATCACAAATGACTCTCCCTCATGTTTGATTGGACTCGCTCCTACATTACAAATGATACCCAATATCCGAACTTACATTTTAAAGGAAATATAATTTTTTTTTTCTCTAGCCACAAGCTGATTTTTGAATATTAATTTATGTGATGTGAAAACCTCATCTCTAAATGCCTTAGCCAAGATGACTAAATCTTTATGTGAGTATCAACGTTGTGACATTGTCTAACACTGTAAACGCACCCACCGGTTAAAAGTTAAGTTTTTCATTTTTAAAATTTATAGAAGTAAGAAAAAAAAAAATTATATACAGTGAATCTACTTATCTTGAAACCATGAAGAGCAATATATTTTAGTATGATGTTTCGAGTCATTTATTTATGCACTGAAGTTAGGTGAATTTACAGGTGTAGGTGGGTGTCAATAATTTTGTTATTGGAAAAGAATAAGCTAGAAGCATGGAAGATGACCCTCGTAAAACGTCAGTCAATCCATTGTTTGCCGACCAGCTTTTTCTACTGAACTTCATAATGGGAAATTATTTGGGTCCTGATGTCACGTTTGATAACCTTGAATATTCAGCATTTCAAAGGATAGCTGAAGGTTCACCTCCGTATATGCCAAGTTATTTGGGACCTTCATATGTTAGTGTGTCTCTTTTGGAGGGTTTATATTACTATCTCTTGAGAAATGTTCACCCTAGCCTCATTTTGAGACCAGAAATGTTGCATAAGTATTTGAAGGGCAGCCTACCTTTGCCAAGTTCAGGGCTGACGAAAGACAGTTGGCAGTTCACAAATTTTTTCCCTTTGGATCTTCATGAACAGATATGGTACCCAGAAAGCTTCAGAATTGTTAAGGGGATTCTTTTTATTGATGATCCTGTCACATCATTTATGAAAGAGGACGATCTGGAAAAGTTCAAATCTTTATCTGGTATAAATAACATGAAAATTGATATAGATGAAGCCATACGATATCAACACAAGTACCTGGATAATGGGGAAAGTAAGACGAATTGCTTGAATGATGATTGCAATTTCACAAAGACAGAATTTTTTTCCAATGAAAATGGAAATTGGTCGGAAAGATTTCAGCAAAAATATAAGAGAAGGTGCTTCTCTCATTCTCCATCAAAGCCAGCATTTCCCCAAGTTGTTACTACAAAGCATTTAAGCAAATATGGAGCTTCATGGATGACCTGCAAACCAGATGGACCTGTGTTCATGCCCCTTATCTCTGTTCCTAATTTGGAAGACTGTACTTCAGATTCTTCTGTTGTTTTGTCTGGGACTGCCAGGAAAGGGGTAGTTGGGCCACCTGTTGGTGTTGTGGACATTGGTGTTAGCAAGGCTGCATATTACTTCCGGGTTGCTCTACCAGGGGTCAGGAAGGATTTTTGTACGTTCTCCTTTCGTTACTTCTTTTCATTTATTCTTGCTGACATATGCTATTAAAATGCCTATAGTTTGGTGTCCCCCTTATGTTTTTAAAGTTTCTAAGGTATCTCCTCTACCTTGAATAGGATACTTGTCTCTCACTGCATCATCGAGTGGAACAGAGTTTATATGCAGTTAATGTTCCCATTACTGCCAAGATATAGTGCGGATGTATATTCTAGGTAGCATTTTTTTAATGATTCTCACTCCTGAGAAGGTGAACACAAGAAAGCCTCTTGGAAGCTGTATCTTATCCCACCTCCCCCCATTCTAGGTCTGATTAGTACTGGGGAATTTGTTTGAACCCATGAAGTATATCTGCAACCCTGTACTCACACGTTAATGCTAGGCACAAAGGATATCTCATATATTCTTTTCATCAGCTAAATGTTCATATTTTTCACATTTACAAGTTGATATTATTTGTGGTAACAGGTCAATTCAATTGTGAGATTGAATCTAATGGCAAGATTCATCTCCAAGGCGTCACAAGTGGTGGAAATCCCATAAGGAAACGTTCGCGTGTATTCCAAATGAAATTGCAGCAATTATGCCCACCCGGACCATTCACGCTCTCGTTCAGCCTTCCAGGACCTGTTGATCCAAGGCTCTTTGCACCTAATTTTGGACCTGATGGCATTTTTGAAGGAGTTATCATAAAAGACGAGTGATATCTGTTGCTGAGTTACATTCTTGATGTAGCAAGGGTCAACAAAGGGGTAGGATTTTCTGACTAGTTCAGTCACTAACATCGTAGTCTGCTAGCAGCAATGTTGTAAATGTTGTAGAAAGAGTATTGGTAGGATATAGGTGAAGCGAGTGTGCTATTCAATCCTTTCCCTCACACATTTTCAGGCATGTGCATGCACATTGCACATACATCAACATAAGGTATGAAATGTACAATTTGGCGGGACACTTCATGCTTCTACGTATTTGGTGGGTCTAATTACTTGAAAAACAAAAACATTTGTTCATATTCTGATTATCGTAATAAATCTTGTTTTTAAGTACACTACATGAAGTTATTTGAGTGGCTAGTTATACTCAGTGATGAAAATATCTGTTTTCACGGAAAAATTGATACTCGAATTTACGGAAATATCGATATTGTTGAGTGTAGACGGAAATGTTGGAAATGTGCTCCAAAACTTGGAAACTTGGGTGAAACTGTAAGAAATACTCAATCACCCAATAATGCATGTATAAGAGTAATAAACTTGATAAAATACCATTCATATGATATGTATAGGAACGCAATTACGCTCCTATAACCATATTGACCAATGACCATGAACATAGCATAGGCTTCATTTGAGTTGTTACTGCGCTCAATTCCTAAAATCATGGAGTCAACACTGACAGCCATGGAATCCTCAGAAAATAGGTTGCCATATCCTTCATCCATTTTTGGTGTCCTGGTGCAGTGCAGACTTTCCCAATAGCAGCAATGCCTACGCCACAACCAGTCTTCATCTTGGGTGTCATGAGTATAGTGACAAATAATAGTAAGTGACAATTTACACCTTCGGCAACTTCAGGGACAGCATATCTGAGCTCCCCAAATTTACACCTATGCCAAATGAAAAAAAATAAAAATAAAAATAAAAATAAACGAAAAATTACTTGTCTTTTCCTTTTAGCAAATTGATAGGAATTAAATATGTTCTAAGAAGACAGTTACGATAAACTACAGTACCCATTTGTGACTTTTGGCGTAAAACAATAAAAACCCTCTTCTGAGCGTGCATCACCTGCATAGTCATCGTCTTCTTACAATTAGAGCTTCCACAGAGCAAGAGAGAGAGAGAGAGAGAGAGGGAGAGAGAGGGGTTGAACTACTTGGGCTTGCACCTTTGAGTTGCGGTGGCTGTTGATCTGGATAGGAGGACTGAGGTAAGCAGATTGGTTGTAACAATCATCCAGAAGAAATTTTGAATTTTGAATTTCTTGATAAATGGGCCACTTTGGCATTGGAATTTAATTCCAGCTTGAAATCTATCAATTGTGAATTCGGCACTGTAAGGGCCGATGGCAAAATGCATTGCCAAATCCATGAAACCAAACTGACCATTTACTGAATGTTTATTTGATTCATTATTTTGCTATCTGGTTCTTGAATTTGCTCGAGTAGAGTAGAGGGTTTGGTGTTGCTTTCGTTATTTTAAACTGTGAAAATCTTTCTTAAAGCTCGAAGCTCTCAGGATATTTTTCTTTTAGGTTGCTATTAAGTTTAGTGGCGGAGCATGAGAGGTGAAGATACAGAAACTTAAGTCTGAAATCAAAGAATTTTTTCTTTTGTGGTTAAATTTTAGGAACCATTTTGGTTCTCTTGCTTAACTTGTAAACCCAAAAGAGGGAATATTCAAATAAGCATAATATTTAGCCTCAAAGCTCTATGAGTGTGTAACTGGAAGGGGATAAAAAAAGACAATACCAAACAAAGCTAACGACTTTGTACATAACAGAAGCTAAAACCTAGATGAGAAAAGACATAGCTTTTCTCAGAAAATTATAAGAAAACAGTAAATATTCAACTTGATTGGAGGGAAGTTTGTATTGAGGGCTTTCCAGGATGGTGTTCTGTCTGCTGGTTTGGGTTTTCTCTTTGGGTTTTTCCGTCTCTTCTATTGTTTTAGGTGTTTCATGCACTAATTGTCCATGCTTCTTGTATATCTTGTCTTTTCTCTTAATAAATCTTGTGTTTGTTATAAATATATAAGAAAACAGTAAATGTTCAACAAATTTATCATCAGAAAACCTAAAACAATACCTAATTCCAAAATCACCAGTTCCATGTATCTATGAAAAAATAGCATGAAATTTTGTGCTTATTGAAAAGTGATTTGTGCTAGTTCATGCTTTCTGAAAAAGGTGAGATATGGCCCAACCAAACACAAATAAAGAACCACAGGAGCCAAAGAGACAGTAAAATTTTCAATCATAATTCTGTTCTGGTACTTCTTGAATCAATTGTTGTAAACAGGTTAGAAACCATGTCAAACAGTCAGCCAATTTCATGACTGCACTGGTGTTGTGCCTGATGTAATTTTTTGGTTCAAGTTATTCTTTACAAGAATGCTGTATTTTGCCTTCATCTATTTTTTTTTCTCCTTCCAAAGATGTCTGTATCAGCTGTGAGAAATGATATGGTCTTCATAGTAGGTTCTTCTAAAAAAAAAAATTGCAGCATATGGTTAGCCTACTGGTGCCTTAAGCCCGAAGACAAAAAAGTTTTGGATCCTGATACAAGTTGTTCTTCCTAAACCTGTTTTATCTTGAGAAGTGTGGAACCACCAATGACCTGTTTAATTAATGATGGATGCTCTCACCTCATGTCAGTTTTGCTTGGATGTAATATTTTACATTTATTATGGTATGGTATTTATCTCAGGCATGTATTTTGCATTTTGCTGGGTTTTCTTCTTCTCCTTTTTATAAACCTTGTTTTCATGTGGATTCTATTTAGTCTTTCTCTTCATCATCATGATTTTCTCACTCTTCCTCAAATCTATGCGTCCGCATTTTTCATTTTTATTTTCTGCCAAGACACCAATTACTACAACTGAAAAAAAAGAAAAAAGAAGAAAAAAAAGACCAATTACTAGCTGTCATACACCAAAAAGAAGAAATAATATGCTGTAATGGACATAAATTTCACAAGGCATTTCAACATAATCTGTAATATTAGTTTACTTAAAAGCTTTTATTTTCTTGTTTTTGAACTGCATGTGGGTATGCCAGATTACACGTGAACTTAAATTCTGCTGATTAATATAGATTTTCCTTACTTCATGAAGCTTCACCAATTGCTTATTTAAATTAAACTAACAGGTGTATCTGAGTGATCACAACGGTAAAGAAGCAAAGTTGGTGACATGGGAGTGGAAAATGTCGCTGATCTTCCACCTCTGGATCCAGCTGTTGTTTTGATTGGAACAGCAAAGGGAGGTAATGTTGGACCTCCTAGCGGTCTTGTTGACATTGGCGTGAGTGAAGCTGCCTACCTTTTTCGAGTTGCACTTCCTGGTATTCGGAAGAATGAATGTAAGTTACCTCAGTTCTCATTGGATATGCATGTCTCTCATGCTGGTGTATATATGAATCGCTATTATTGCACAGGGAGCTCTTTTTAAATGCTGAATTAATGTAGTCAAAGATAGCAATGACCAAGTAGGTAATTTTTGCTCTAGCAGGTAGGGTAAAATGTGATATCCAACGTGATGGAAAGGTTCATATAGAAGGAATCATGACAGGTGTTGGACTTTTGAGGAACTCGTCAACTGTGTACCGTTTGAGAGTCCAACAACTATGCCCACCGGGAGCATTTAGCATATCTTTCCGTCTGCCTGGACCTGTTGACCCCCGTTTGTTTTCTCCTTATTTCCGGCATGATGGAATCCTGGAAGTGGTGGTTATGAAAGGCAGAGTACCTCTACCCTGAGAAGCCAGGTTTCCAAATCTGTGAGGTTAGTGGAAGGACACTCTCTTGGGTTATGGCGTTTATTTTTGCTTGAAGTGCAAATGGGGATAGTTGTAATGAGGGAAGAAAATGCATGCGTACAAAGATGTTCTGTCTTTGTTTGGAAAAAAGCAGTGTGTTTTAACTGGCGCAGTGATGCATAGAGTCAGTTTGAGGAGAAAATCAGACTTTATATAAATGGATAATGAAGTATAGCTAGATTGTTTAATACAAAGAATTAATTGGAAACTCAAAATCATCCTTTATGCAACTTGTTAATTATCAATTGTCAAAACTTGTTTATTTATATAAACTTGGACTTGGGCTGAGTTTTGGGTACACCTCCATTTTAGGATATTTATTGGGCTTCTAAGACTTGTTGTACTTTGGCCCAAATGCCACAAACTGACAAAGCTGCATAAAGAGGTGGAGATTGTGCGCGAACGGCCCTTTAGGGTTTTTTTAGAGGGCAATTACAGAGAATTGAACAACAAACACACCCCCGAAGGATGGTTCTAGCCAGAATTAGAAGTATACAACAGAATCACACAAGCGAGAACAATGAGTCTATATATGAAACTGAAATAACTGCTCATTAGAAGCCAAATCCAGACAGAGCAAGTATAACCAGCAATATCAGTGTCAAATAGGCTGCCCGCAATCGGCAAATCACCTTTATCGTCCTTGAAACGAGAAAGAGAGAGCGCT